CCAGCATCATCAGCGATACACACATGTCCCATCAAAGCACAAATGTTTGCAGGGGTAAATCTGGAGCGTTAGTCAGGGCTTCAGTGCTGGCTCTTGTTACATGTATCCCACAAGCTGGCTCTGCCGTCTGATGGTGAATGAAAGCCTCTGTGCCCAGCCCTGGGACTTGCACGGGGAAGCTCCAAACCATGGCATGTGGTAAATACTTCCCCTCTGCCATATCAGAACTGGCTCCTCCAAACCGGTAACGGTAACATCTTATCGCAATAACCTGGGAAGGGATAAACAGCTCAAAGGTGCAAACGGCCAGAATCACCTTGGCCAGTCCCTCTCTGAGGCTGTTTGGAGCCAAACCATCTTTCACTGGGGGGTGAAAGCAGAGCCGAAATCCATGTGCCTGCCCTGGATCAGTGATTCCCAACATGTGCATAGGGGCACACTTGTGCCAGGAAGGTGTCTGAGCCAGGTGCCTGCTCCCTGCCCTTACCCGTGGCCATCTGTCCCCAGAGCCCAGCAGATCAGCAGCCACAGCAGGAGGGATGTGCTACAGGCTGGTCCCCAGGCTCAACAGAGGTGTGACAGCTTGGGAAGGTCACTGTGCATCACCAGTTTTAATCCTGGAAAACATTTGCCCCAGGTATGACAATCTGAGTAAATGCTACCCCAGGCCAGCATCGTGGGGCCAGACAGCCCAGGCAAGGGCTTCAGAGTGACTTTCTGCCCTGGGTCCTAGCAAAAGTAACTTACTCATTACACGTGCTGATAAGCAAATGGGGAGGGAAGAGGGGAGATAAAACAGAAGGATTAGGCTCCTCTTCCAAAGATCAGGGTCTATTGTTGCAAGAGCCCATGCTTCCATGCCAACATGATAGCCCTCAGAGCAGCTGAGGCAGGGCTAAAGTCAGACATAACTCAACAGCCAGGCCTGGCCTTAGTATCGTCCAGGTTTGTATTAACAAGGATTTTTTTCTCATCTGTTCAGAATCCTGCTCGTGGGCCTCATGGTCCAATGGGGAACCACCCAGGTGTAATCAGAACCATGAGCTCTGCCAGCAGCAGCAGGAGGGGACAAGAGGGTGTGATGGTCCCAGAAACCCTCATCTCCCTGCAGACTGCCACAAGAAGACCCACAGAGTGTTTAAACTCCTTATGAGCTGCCAGCACAGCCTGTCCTGTGCCCATTACACCCTCCCTGATGTGCAGCCCATTTACAGTACAGGTCTCACAGGGTTTTCAAGCAGTGCTGTGCCAGTGACTAGCCTGGAGATGCCAAAATGCCTCAGGCATTGGGAAGTTGGCTTTCAGGCAGGCAATTCCCAAGATTTATGAAGATAAATCTTGCAGAGAAGGTATAGAAAAAATTGAAGTTATCTTCCTAACTCAGCTCAGAAAGCACACCACTGGCTACTTTTCTGCAGCAGCCACAATGTTGTAACTGCCAGGACAGCCACTAAAAACTAATATTTGGGACTACATAGAACTGTTCTCCATGGCCACTGCAATTCTTTAGTTAATTTTGGGTACACACCAGCAAAGGCTGGTTAGAAAGGTGAATGTCACCCACAATACCCAAACAACCTTGTTTACATTTCTTTACTCATTAACAGAGGTAAAATTTAATAGCACATACAACTTTATCTCCCTTTGTGTTACTTAAAGAGGTACCACTCAAACAGATCAGAGGCAATCATGAGCTCAGCAGCGTTTGTAGTCCCCCACAAAGTGTCTTCAGAGCCCTGTCAGGAGTCTGAGCAAAAACACAGATATATTTAGAAGGCCTGACACTCCTTCAAGTATCCATCTGACAGTCACAATGGTAGAGTCACAATCACAGACAGCCCTAAATGAGAGTAATCACATCTCTTACGTCTCTTACATATGCCCATAGCTGTTTGGAGCAGACACAACAGCTGCTCATTTTGGACTTCAAAGGAGGAGAGAAGATGCTTTGTTCAGAGAAATAAATTTGGCATGTGTATTAGTAGTGTCTTGAAGTCTAAACAAAATCAAAGGTCCACTGGATTAGAGCCCCTAAGAGGTGCATTTACCAAGATTAACGTGTCTTCTAAAGAGAGTAGAAAGAGGACAGGAAAAAGGATTCTCTTGCTAATTTTGACGATAGAAGTGCAGAGAGGAATTCTGTGGGAGTAGCTCTGAGCCCAATGTTTAGTGACCCAGCTTAGCATTGGTGCTCACAGGAGCACATGGAAAAGCCTCTGAGCCAGCCAGGAATGGGAACTGGCTGCTGACAAGCTAAGCCTTAGCAAATCTTTGCACAAGTGCTCTGTCACAGACCTGTTCTCCAAGACTGCTTCAATTTACTGCTTTGGAAAAACACGTCCTTATGAGTTGCTGGAAAGCATCTGCTTTAATTGTGCAGCACTACCAGGAGCATTGCTGCAGGGCAGCAGCACTCACTAAGCTCTTCATCCAGGGATATCTGCTAGGGTCCCCCAAAGAAGTAGCAGAGGAGGTAATTGTGAGAGAAGAAAATACCCCAAACCTCATCTATCCCATTGCCCTGAACATCCTAGTTCCACTGATACCCTTCTAGCCTGTCTCCTGTTCACTCCTCCATGGCTCTTCCCGTCTCCTCCAGTGACCTTCTCCAAAACTCCTCTCCATCTTTCTGGCCCCTGAACACAAACCCCTTCCTATTTTTCATCCATTGGAGCTTGAACTTTGTATCAAACCAGCCAGAACCCTTTTTGTTACAAGTTCAGTCACAACGAAATCCAAGCTGGGTCATCGCTTTGTTCTGCCCAGGTCCCCTTGCCCCAGACCTCCAGGGACAGCTGGGTCAGCCCCAGTTTTGGTCCATGGCAGCCTGTACCAACTCAGCCCTGGCCTGGATCCATGCAAGTCATCACACTTCTTTGAGCTCCACTCATGGGAGGTTACACACCATAAGCAAATAAAGTTGGGAAGTTCCTGGCTGCCCTACGCCTGGGACACACCCTGGCTTCCTGATGGGGAACCTCAAAGATTTCCCTGCCTCTCTTCTCCCAAATCCTGTTCTCTTTGAAAGCTGTGCCTCTTCCTGCCCATCTCTGGAGCTGTCTTAAGTTTCCTTATGTTTCCTTAAGTCATCATCCCTTTCTGGATGGCAAAGGGGCATTGGAAGGTATGTCTGAAGAGGAGGATGGGAACCTGGCACAGGGCCATGTGCAGGGAGCCCAAACTGTTGTGTCAGTTGTGATCACATAATAGGAGAGATGCCTGTGCCTGTCACCTTAGAGATGGATGGAGGCTGCCCCTCAGGCTGCTCTGCTCTTTAAACCTCCACCGGAAGATGTTGAAAAACTGGCAATAAATATGAAATCAGACCCAAGGACCAAGCTGCCTCTTTCGGTCTTTTTTCTGGCTGTCCTACCAGACCCTCATCTGGACCTTGCTTTTGGTTTGACACCAGGACCCATGACTAGCTGTTCACAGCCACCAGTCTCCATTCTTTCCCAGTACACATGTGCCTTTGACACCAGCAGCCCAGCTTTTCTGTGCTTACCTTTTGCAGCACCTCTTAAAAAATCACCCCAAATGTCACCAAGATGGAAACCAGTAGCTGGGGACCACTGCAGGCAGATGCAGCCCCTCCTGCCTCCCTCACGGCTCCCTCTTGCCTCCTCCATCCTCCTCCACAAAGCCTCTTCTTGCCACAGGCCAAGCTCTCAGGTTCTCAGAACTGCTCTCTTTAAAAAGGCAAAGAAAGGGCAGATCATCAGCTTCCCAGGCTGGAGTTGCTCTGATGGGCAGAGCAGGCGGATTTGGTTCTACTTGTGCTGACACTGTTGAGCCCTGAAAGAGGCCACAGAGGGGCCCTTCTGGTACACTACATGGCACCAAAAGGCCATTGGGCTTTGCCTGGGCACATAGTGCCAGATCAGTGAGGAGCAGGGCTAGGCAAGGGTGTTTCAGAAATGTACAAGCTTGATCTGGACAGCAAAGCTTGGCTTACGTGCTGTCTTGAGCAAGATCATCTTCCAGAGGTTACACACAGATGCTCAGGTGCCAAGAGCCCACAGGACAGCTGCTCTCTGCTGCTTACAATGTGTGATGCCAGCTGAGCAGAGCAGGTTGTTCTCTTCTGTTCTGGGAGTAGAGCTGTTGCCCTTGGCAGACTTCTGGGCCATGCAGCAGTGCTCCTTATGCCTGCTGGTGCCTCCTCCTTGGGCTGCAGCTGAGCTGGGTGGAGAGGGTTCAGGCCACAGCTCTTTACTCCTGGCCAGCCTGGCAGCAGAGCTGTCATGTGAGAACCCACCAACCCTGCATTAGTCAAAGTGAGAAAGGCATTCAGCATTTAAAGAGGAGATGTCCCATGACTTGCCTTTGTTGGACTACAGCAAGTTGGGGTAGCAGTCCCAGCAGCAGAGCAGGGAGCTCTAAGACTCCTGTATATTCGCCCAGGATTAGATGGAGAATGAAGCAAGGTTGCAGCTTGAGAGCATCCATGGCATTCTGCCTCCTCTCCTCCTCATCCCAGCCACACTTCCCTGTGGCTACATCACTTGCCCTTGCAGGGCATTCCTGTGCTCCCAGGCCCTGGCCAGGATTTCAGCCTCAAAGTTTCTTTCCCCTTTCACCAGCAGTGCTTGGCAGTGCTGCACATCACCCTGCACAAAAGTGCCTGAACACAGTGCAAACATGCTGCCAAAGGAGAAACTTGAGAGCTGCACAGCCTAAGCCTGGATTTTGCTGGTTATCCATGCATTTCAGATGCCACAGGAAATAACAGAAACACAGGATCTCATCGTGGCTACTTGCTTTAAGGATGTCCTAATGCGCTCATCAGGAGGCTCTTAACACCAACCTTCCTACACTCACAAACAGCCTGAACTACACACGTCTTGCATTAGCTTCATCCATAAAATAAAAGTCAATGTCCTCGCTAGTGAAGGGCGTAATTCCTCTTCAGATGCCCAAATGCTCGTGGACAGTCTCTTCCACAACAGAGCAATTGGGTCACCTCATCCAAAAGGCTGCCAAGCACCAGCACTACCCGAACACCCACACCAAGGTTTTTTGTTTCGTAAAAGCACATGGTACTTAAGGATGTGGAAAGAGCCCATATTTAAAAAATAAGCTGGAGGATCCTTTCCCTGAAAATTGTTGGTTCAGAGGCTCTGTACCACCCCCAAATCCCAACCCTTCTGTACCATACTGCACAAACCTGCAGCTTCAGCAGGAGTTTCGTAGTCTTAAATACAAGCTTTAAAGCTTATAGATACACACAAAGACACACAGAAATGACATAAATATCAAGCTTTTAATCCTTCTTTTGATGATAATGAAGACCTTAGGGCAAGAAAAGATCTGTAAAAAAAACCAGAAAAGAAATACATTTAAACTCCCAATACAAAACCAGGCAGCTACCCATAGTGCCTTTCCATGCCCAGAGAGGATGGGAAATAAGTTCAGCTATTATATGGGTAA